ATTTGAAGACTGTTTGTGTGGAAGAATGGGCCAAAATCACACCTGAGCAATGCATGCCACTAGTTTCTCCATACTGGAGGCGTCTTGAAGTTGTCATTGCCAACAAAGGCTTTTGTACAAAATATTAGATAAATTTCAGTAAGTGTGCTCAATATTTTTTCCCTGTGCCATTCCACATTGTTACACATAACTTCATTTCTGGACATTTATGGTTTGATTTCTTTGTATGTATGGATCGCTTGGGTTGTTACCGACATCTGGTGAAAATTTCATGTCATTAGCACCTCTAGTAATATATTTACTGAGAAAAATGTTGACATGTTCAATACTTATTTTACCCGTTGTATCTTTCTTTATTCTATCTCAGCCTCTCCTGTTTTGAGCTGCTATAATGTGCAAATTTCTCCACTGTGGGATCAATAAAGTTTTATCTTATCTTATCTTATCTTATCTTATCTTATCTTATTTCATTCATTCATATCTAGGATGTGTTATTTGAGTGTTCCCTTTATTTTTTTGATCAGTGTATTTATTTCATTATTTTATCACTTTGATAAAGAGATTAATCTGAATGAATCTTTGGGAGGGGGATCTTAGATTTTCTAGGAAGTAAGAAGGTGGGGCTTTGAGGAAATTAGGTCGGGAAACACTGGTCAATAGCATTAACTAATTAGTAAAGGATACAACATGGCTAACAACAACTAATCTTGTTAAGTAGCTCAACATCATAAAATGACATGTAACTTGTCATTATGCTAACATTATGTGACTCCAACAGCAAGACTTAACTTACATTACTTGTTTGGTAAAGCCCTAATAAGCCATAATTCATAGATTATAAACTTGCTTTCTAGTTTGGCACAATGCATCCCGTCACCAACACTGCTAGAAATGAGCACAACCACACAGTAATTCAATTACAGTAATTCAGGCAGCAGCTGACTTACTCTGCTTATGCTTGGCCCATGCATGCTTATGCTTGGCCCATGGCATACCCCCCCCCCCCCCCACCACCACCACCTTTGGCACCTTGTCCATCTAACAGTAAGAAGGGATTAATAGGGATTGTCAAATCCAGTTTAGTTTAATGGTGTGTGAGCTTTATCACACGGCTAATCTATTATGGCTGTTTTGTGTTGGGTGGACAAATACTCAATGTGTTTATCCCTGTCAGTGTAGTTGGGGAACTGAGTCATATTTTTAGTTGTAGAATAAGCTCAGGTGTTTTTTTTTTTGTTGTTTTTTTTGTTTTTTTACAATCTTATCGCTTTCTCAAGTACAAGTATGCAATCTGAAAAGTTTATCAGAAAGGGGAAAAAAATCTTCAGAATGAAAAAGTTTCCTGTCAGGTTTTACCTATTATGCTCAGTCAAAATTCACAATGTCTTCCTGTTTTTTTAAAGTCACCGTTAATAACGTATTAATCCTTGCTGTGACTGTGTTGCTTGATGATTATCATGTGTGGCAACCCCCAACTGACACGAGGCAGATTAAGCTGACCTTCCTTGCATGTTTATGTGCGTTCCTTCCTGTGTGTTAGTGTGTGACGCTGGACGTGTGTGTAAGAAATCGGCTTAAAGGAAACACCACTTACTTGAGCCATCGTTGCTGTGACCTAATATCCTGTTGGCTCAAGGAAGACAGCAGACAGCCTTTAGAAACTTAAATCTAACCGTAACCTGGAGCAACATGCACATGTCTTGTTAGCTCACATTACTGGAATCAGAACTATCAGGCTTTCTGACAAAATCTGCACAAACATTCAGATTTCTCAGTAAATAATGCCTTATTATTACTTTATGAGAACACCCATGTTTAAACCAGATATAGGATGAGGTTTTCTTACAAAAAAAAAAAAAAAACAGGAAGTTGTCTGTTAATGAGCTTTTATATATAGCCCTAGTGTTAGTTGTGATGTCTAGAAGTGCAAGTTAAAACTCTACCATGCATCAACATACATCAACGAAACCCAAAAATGCTGCTGGCTTCTCTGGACCCGAGCTCATCTGAGATGGACTGATGCAAAGTGGAAATTTAATTGTGGAAAAGAGTCCTGTGGTCTGACGAGTCCACATTTCTAATTGTTTTTAGAAATCATGTATGTGGTGTCCTCCAGGCCAAAGAGGAAAAGGACTGTCCAGATAGTCATCAGAGCAAACATCAAAAGCCAGTCTTTCTGATGGTATGGGTGTGTGTTAGTGTCCATGGCATGGATAACTGTCACATCTGTGAAAGCACCATTGATGCTTAAATCTACAAACACGTTTTAGAGCAACATACACTGCCATCCAAGCCACATCTTTTTCAGGGACGTCCTTCTGATTTCAGCAAGACAATGCCAAGCCAGATTCTGCATGTGTTCCAATAATGTGGCTTTGTAGTAAAAGAGTGCGGGTACTAGACTGGTCTACCTGCAGTCCTGACCTGTCTCCCAAAATATGTGAAGCATTATGAAGCTCCAACAATTAGTGTCCACAGTTCCCAAACACTCATTGTGTGTTGTTAAAAGGAAAGCTGATGGAACACAGTGGGAAACATGGCCTTTTACCAGCTTTTTGGACCGTGTTGCAGAATCAAATACAAAATGAGTGAATTTTTTAAAAAAATGGAAACAAAACAAAAAACTAACTAACTAACTAACTAACTAACAAACAAACAAACAAACAAACAAACAAACAGACTGACTGACTGACTGACTGACTGACTGACTGACTGACTGACTGACTGACTGACTGACTGACTGACTGACTGACTGACTGACTGACTGACTGACTGACTGACTGACTGACTAACTAAATAAATAAATAAATAAATAAATAAATAAATTATATTTGTTAGAACATTAAATATTCTGCCTTTGTAACATATTCAGTTGAGTGTAAGTTGGAAAGGATTTTCAAATCATCTGATTCTATTTTTATTTGTTTTACACGTCCCAACTTCATTGGAATTGGGGTTGTACACATACATTCACATGTTCATTGCACTCAAATTACTCACTTTTGCACTGATTTAGTAAAATGCTTATTTAAATGAATACACAAATTCTTATTTATGTTCTTTTTAAAATTAATTATATAAAAGATGGAACATACTGTAGATTAAAAGTCAAAAGAACTAATTCAAGAGCTTATCTCTGAATTATACATAT